TGTATGTCCGTCCGACTGTCCGTCTGTCTGTCCATGTCAATTTATGAACCAATAGGCCACAATTATGAACCAATCGACACGGAATTTTACATGGAGTTAGAGTTAAGAACTATAGGAGCCATCGGACAGTATTTAGTGGGTAAAATAGAACCTTACTTTTATGTAAGAAAATAGGAAAATTTCCACTAAACCGCGAATATTTTTAATCCCGTTCAAATCACATATACATTAAAAAGTCACTTCTGACCATTAGAGCGATTCCGATAGCCAAGAAATCGGATATATAGCAAAATAAAAGAAAAGAATAGATCTTATTTATTTTATAGATATTATTTATTTTGCTTATAAGTCGAGAATCAATTTTCACAATTCTTATCAATTCGGAATGGTCTCTTGCCAGAAAAGGATGAAATTGTAGAAAATCGCAGAAAATGTACCAATAAAAAAGTGAATATCTTTGGTTCCATTCCTTTTTTTTTAATTTTTGTCATATTTTTTATCGTATGCGATTTTTTTCAATTTGATTACAATTCTGAATTTTTAATTTTCTAAATTTTTACACTCCCCTATACTACGTTTTGAGGGTATTATATGCATGTCACAATTATCGTATGATCCTCACAAAATTTTGCATGGGGGTAGGGTTAGGGTCAGAATTAAAGCCTATTGTTCTTAGGATGTACGTTTAGGGGTTCAAATTTTAAATTAAGTTTTTTTTTTAATTTTCTAGGCCATAATTGAAGATTAACCATTGGATTGTATTTAACTGTAAAATGGAAGAAAACATTCGTGTAAAATTGTTGAACTTAAAATTTAGACCTCCCTGAAGCCGTAATACTAATTCAATCGCGATAATAGTTGGCATGATTTATTTTACAGAAGTGCCCAATATATACATATGCTTGATTAGGGAAGCTCTACTTAATTTGCATGGTGGTGCTGTACACCATACAGTCGTCCCAGCCAACGTTTACCCTTTCCGCATGAGTTAAGGAACGACATTTTATTTCTTTTTACGAGTGTTAAGAGTAATTAATTTGAAATATTTCGTAAACGTCTAAAATATATTATTTCGGGCATAAGTTCAAATTATTGGACGAATTTACACGAGTTCACCCTAAATGCCTTTGCTCCTGTATCTAAATAGACAAGATATGACATATGCCCGAAAAATCCTCTTACGTATTTGGGTCTTAATTGCTTATGTAGTTCATTTGGTTACCATTTTTTTGGTAGGCATTGATTAATTTTAAAAATGGACAAATAATCACATTTAAATGTTATGAACTTATCTTTTTTGTTGTCTAAAAACAGTTATTAGCCTTTATTTAACAGATTATTTGACAAAAATACTAAAAGGTCAAACACAAGTTATTCTATTTAAAATATGTTGGCCTATGTCCTATTAAGTAATACTTCCTGTATGGCCCTGTATTGACCTATGACTGGCACTAACCGCCAGCCAACAATTAGCCTTTTCTATTGGTGAATGTAAATGTGTAATGTTGTACCACTTGTAAACAGTAATAAAGTACAGCTATATTATAGAAGAAAAAATATAACAACAACAATAATAATAACAATAAAACTTAACTGTGCTAAGCTAATTACCGACCATGTTGTATTATTTGTTGTTCAGGAAATACGTTCGTTTCAAGATTAGCATGTGATAATTCGCTTATAATGTTGTTGCTGCAGTAAATATTTCAGGCGATAAACTATTTTCGTCTATGGAAAAGAATAATTAACATAGATTGGGGAAATGGAACAATGGAGGAGCATGAGATCTTAGATTACGAATTTAAAAACTAAATTTTTATGGGGCATTTTCATTAGTGCCATATGAAGACCCTTGAAAGAAAAAATGGAAAATTATTAATAATCAAAAGAAAAGCAGCTACATACGGCTGGGCCGAACTCTTATTACCCTCCACAGAGGAAATTTGAAAATTTTCCAAAAAAAAAAAAAAAAACAGTAAGGAAAGGTCAAAAGTCGGACGGGTGATACCCTACACCACTACGCATATTTAATGGAGCTCTCAAAACAACACTATATTTGGGCTGATATTAGCCATTATTTTTACAATAAACCTCAAATCGGATTAAGGATATATATAGGAGCTATATCCAAATCTGAACCGATCTTGACAAAATTTGGCAGTGGTACTTCTGAGCTTTATATGGTACTAAATTTCATTGTTGTCGAATGCATATTACGAATTTGAGGGAATTAAACAACGAATCGGATCAAACATATTTATGGAAGCTATAGCTATATCTGAACCGATTTCTTCTGGACTGAATTCGCTCAGATATGACAAAATTCAAATCATTTGGACAGATATTGGTTATATGGCGCACAATTAACTCGAAATTGGTGCACTGGTTTAATTGCAACCAGTAAAGAAAGTCTTAAAGTCGGGCGGAGCCGACTTTATGATACTCTACACAACTTTGCTAATTTAGTAGAGCTGCGCATAACAATTAAAAGTTTTTATGGGAGAATTCAATCATACACGCTATGAATATATTTATATATTTTCAAAGGACTAAATATGCCGAAGCATTAGTATCTTTTAAATTCGGTCTTGTATTGCCCATTTGGTGCAAAATTAATATGAAATCGGATAAAGATATATATGTGAGCTATATCCAAATCGGAACCGATCTCGATAAAATTGAATATCGTTGTTACGGAGTGCATATTACGACTGTGGGTAACAAATATGACAAATCGGATGAACAGTATATATGGGAGCTATTGCTATATCTGAACCGATCTTAACCAAATTTGACATACTAGCTTCAAGACTCAATTCGGTCGTAAGTGCCAAATTCATCGAATTTGGGCAAATATTAGACGTTTGGTGCACAATCAAAGGTAAATCGAACGAAGTTACATATGGGAGCTATGTCCAAATCTGAACCGATCTCGATAAAATTTAGCAAATATATTTCTGAGCTGTATTTGATATATTTCCCCAAATATTGTGATTCTATGCAGATCATCAAAAGGAACTATGGGTCTATCTCGTTTCCTTTTGCCTGTTACAAACAAATGCACAAAGACATAATACCCTGACCACCTTGTGGTGTAGGGTATAAAAATTTGGGCTGATATTAGTCATTTGGTGCACAATAAACCAGATATCGGATAAATATATATATGGGAGCTATTGCCTAATCTGGACCGATGTCGATAAAATTTGACAGAGGTATTTTCGAGCAGTATCTGATGTCCGGTACCAAATATCATTCTTCTGGAGTGCGTATTACGCATGTGAGGGACTTAAAACAACAAATCGGATAAAACATTGTATGGGAGCTATATCTATATCCGAAACGATTTTCTCCAAATTGGATGTACTTGATTCTAGACTGAATTCGGTGCGATGTACCAAAAAACAGGTCATTTGGACTGATATTGGCCATTTGGTGCACGATTAACACGAAATCGGTTGAAGATATATGGGAGCTATATCTAAATCTGATCCGATTATCACAAATTTCAATTTGATTCGTCCTTGGGCCAAACAAATATTGTTTGCAAAATTTCATCTCAATCGGATAATAAATGCGACCTGCATTTCTTGCACAAGAATACGTGGACAGACGGACTGTGATTCTATGAATATCCTCAAAATTAACTATGGGTCTATCTCGCATCCTTCTCCGTGTTCCAAGTAAATGCACAAATATATATTACCCTTACCACTATGTGGTGTAGGGTATAAAAAAAGAAGATGCGGACTTTTATAGCTTATTTGCAACACCAAAAATACATCTGAGTAAAATTTTATCAACCTACTTCAATTCGTTCGGAAGCTAGAGTGATCTCCATCGTCATAGAATTTTGTACTGATCAATAATATATATACGTTGTAGGGTCTAAAATGTATATTTCGAGGTGTTACAAACGGAACGACAAACTTTATGATGAAAACTCTTATATGGAGGCTATACGAAGCCGTGGATCAGCATAGTCAATTTTCTGTCATAGGCTTAAATACGAAATTTGAAATAATTCCAATCTATAAAGTCGCTAAAATGCCGAATATTGGGAGGCATCGTTATATGGAGAATATACGAAGGAACAAACCTGCTTACAAATTTCTTGTCATATGCTGCAGTACCGATTCCGAACTTAAAATACAACATTTGAACCAATTCCGGTGGATAATATCGCTAAAATCATCACAATACTGAATATTTGAAAGTATCGTTATATAAGGGCTATTCGAAAATGTAGACCTGCTTGAGCAATTTTCTGTCACAGAATGTATTACCCGTTAGGAATTTTAAATTGCAAATTTGAAATAATTCCGCTATATATAATGGCACTAAAATACCAAAAATCGTGAGATATGCATGCACAATTTTTTGTCATAGGTTGTAGCACCCATTAAGATCTTCCAATATGAAATTTGAAACAATTCAGGTCTATAATGTCTCTAAAATCATCAAAATTCCGAATATTGAGAGGCACCGTTTTATGGGGCCTATTCGAAAACATGAACCGATATGGCCCATTTACGAACTTTTCCCGTCTACTGGCAAAATATTCATGTGTACAAAATTTTAGCCTTCTATCTTCCGATAACAACAGACACATGACAGGTCTAGCATGTCTATTACGCAGAGTTACAATCGGATTGACAAAATTAATAGAATGTGGGAGGGTGTAAAGGACAATTTCCTAAGAAAGAATGATTTTCATTAAATCTTTACAAATTTTTCAAAATAACATGATAATTACCTCAAACCAAAAAATGACAACCAAAAAATGAATTTAATTTTCCTCAGAGTGTTCTTTAGCAAAAATAAAAATAACACGATATTAAAGACTTTTGTTGCTACTTGTATATTTACTGTACCGCCATCCTACTGAAAGTACTAATTTATATACAGCACTTATTTATGTCTTTTATTGGGCTGACACCGTTGTAAATATATATATTCATATGTATGCATTCTATTGTATTTTATTATTTCTTTTCTAGTGCCAACAGCGACCATATTGGGCGGACCCGATCTGTATGTTGATAAAGGAAGCACAATTAATCTAACATGCGTAATAAAATTTAGTACTGAGCCACCAACTCACATTTTCTGGTACCATCAAGATAAGGTAAGTCCATTGTAAGAAAAGAAAATACACAATAATTCTCGTATGTCGGTATTGGGCAAAAAAAAAGAAAAATGAATACAGAGAACAGAATTTGTAACAAACATATATATTACGAGTACACATACCTATATGGGTACATGAATACCATCATTAGTGCAAATAAAATGTAAACAAGAAGGTCCCTTTCCGAAAATAAGGAAACAAGAAAATAAAAATATTGAATGCAAAAATGTTATTTGAGAATTTTCTGAAAACGCTGATATTAAAAAAAAAACAGTAAAGAAAGTCCTAAAGTCGGGCGGGGCCGATTTTATGATACCCTACACCACTGTGCTAATTTAATTGAGTTCCACATAACAATAAAAAGTTTTGAGTTTTGCCTTGTTAAGGCGAAGATCATATGTTTTATGATTTAAGTTTTTGTTTTCTCTTTCGAGACGAGCTTAACGATCTGAAATTTGCAGTGAAAAGGAAAGCCAGATAGACACTATCACACACTCACCACTATGCGACGCGTTTCGCCGTTGGTTAAGCGGCTCATCAGGCATATTTGATGTGGATGATGGCTTACAAGGGCCGTTCTCTGGAAAGTAGTATATATTTCGAACTTATTGCAAATTAGCATATGCGAATTATACACTAGAAACTCTCCAGGTTCGACTCAAGTTCTAATGGCAGATCTTTTTCACAGCAACGTTTTGTTTTTGTAGTGATGGATTTTTTGTCCACAACAACTACATTGCTTCCAATGCATACACTTGTTTTAGTGCTGCTTTAGGAAGACGGGTTAATGGCTCTGAACGTAGAGACGGCAACTTCTAGTTGGCTGCACACAGAGGTCCGCGGTTCAAATCCCACAGCCAGGCTCGGCTGAATTTTTGAGTTTTGCCTTGTTAAGGCGAAGATCATATGTTTTATGATTTAAGTTTTTGTTTTCTCTTTCGACCTAAAGCAGCACTAAAACAAGTGTATGTATTGGAAGCAATGTAGTTGTTGTGGACAAAAAATCCATCACTACAAAAACAAAACGTTGCTGTGAAAAAGATCTGCCATTAGAACTTGAGTCGAACCTGGAGAGTTTCTAGTGTATAATTCGCATATGCTAATTTGCAATAAGTTCGAAATATATACTACTTTCCAGAGAACGGCCCTTGTAAGCCATCATCCACATCAAATATGCCTGATGAGCCGCTTAACCAACGGCGAAACGCGTCGCATAGTGGTGAGTGTGTGATAGTGTCTATCTGGCTTTCCTTTTCACTGCAAATTTCAGATCGTTAAGCTCGTCTCGAAAGAGAAAACAAAAACTTAAATAAAAAGTTTTTATGGGAGAATTCAAACATACAACCTATTATTATAATTATAATTTAAAATTCAAAGGACTAAATATGCCGAAGCATCTGTATCTTTTCAATTCGGACTTGTATTGCCCATTTGGTGCAAAATGAATTTGAAATCGGATAAAGATATATATGGGAGCTATATCCAAACCGATCTTGATAAAATTTGCCAAAGATATTTCTGAGCTGTATTTGATATATTTCCCTGAATATCGTTGTTACGGAGTGCATATTACGGCTATGGGTAACAAATACAAAAAATCACCAAATTTGGCATACTACCTTCTAGACTCAATTCGGTCGTATGTGCCAAATTCCATCCCATTTGGGCAAATATTAGACGTTTGGTGCACAATAAAGGTTAGATAGGACGAAGTTATATATGGGAGCTATATCCAAATCCGAACCGATCTCGATAAAATTTAGTAAAAGTGTTTCTGAGCTGTATTTGATATATTTCCTTGAATATCGTTGTTACGGAGTGCATATTACAGCTGTGGGTAACAAATACAACAAATCGGATGAACAATATATATGGGAGCTATAGCTATATCTGAACCGAACTTCACCAAACTAGGCATGCTACCTTCTAAACTCAATTCGGTCGTATGTGCCAAATTTCATACCATTTGGGCAAATATTAGACGTTTGGGGCACAATAAAAGGTAAATCGGACGAAGCTATATATGGGAGCTATATCCAAATCTGAACCGATCTCGATAAAATTTAGCAACGGTATTTCTGAGTTGCATTTGATATATTTCCCCAAATATTGTTGTTATAGAGTGCATATTACGGCTGCGGAGGACAAAAATAACAAATCGGATGAACAATATATATTGGAGCTATACCTATATCTGAACCGATTTCGATCCAATTTGGCATACTTATTTTCAGGTCCAATCTGATCGTACGTACAAAATTCCATACCATTCGGACTGATATTACACGTTTGGTGCACAATAAAAGGCAAATCGGACGAAGATATATATGGGAGCTATATCTAAATGTTTACCGATTATCTCCAATTTCAATAGGGTTCGTCCTTGGGCCAAATAAATATTGTTTGGAAAATTTCATCTCAATCGAATAATAAATGCGACCTGCATTTTGTTCACAAAAATACATGGACAGAGGGACGGACGGACAGACGGACTGACATGCATAAATCAACTCAGAAAGTAATTCTATGCAGATCATCAAAAGGAACTATGGATCTATCTCGTTTCCTTTTGCCTGTTACAAACAAATGCACAAAGACATAATACCCTGACCAACTTGTGGTGTAGGGTATAAATACATAATTTAGCAAAAATCTCCATCGATGTTACCTTAGAAAACGGTCATTAGATATTTTATTTTTGTAAGAGGTTTATCTGCCCATATTGGTTTATCAATTTGTAAAAATTTCCCAAAATTAGATTTCCTAAAGCTTTTCTGCCATTAAACTTTTTAATTGCACACCGCTGTAAATTAAATTGGGATTATCTTCCATCCATTGGACACAATATTTTCAGCGTTCGACGGAAGCGTAGTGGACGTTTGCCTATCGACCAACATTCGAAAGGCATAAGCCATTTAAATTCATAAAAGCAGTTTTAAGTCCATCCTACTGGAAATATTAAATATCCACTCAGTACAAAATCAACAAACAAATGCAGAGCAAAATATTTACGGAGAAATCATAAGTTGAATCGTAGGTTCAGTGATTTGCCAAATGATATTGGTTGCCGAATCTCCAATTATGTTCTCACTAACATGATACAAAATTTCACCAATTCTACATCATGGGTCTAAGTTCACCAATACTTTTTACGGAATTTTCAAGGATTTTTTTATGGAGGTGTTTGTTTCAAGGTTTTATTATGACATTACAGGTCTTCTGTCTGTCTATATTTTAAAAACCGAAGCTATGTCTTTTTTCTCCAAACGATCATTATAGAATGGTCTTAATATTTCGCCTCATCTAAGTTATCTTTCAACTCTGGGCATTATCCAACACAAGTGTAAAACCAGTAAGGAAAAGCCAAGAGTCGGGCGTGGATTACTGTATGAGACCCTACACCACTATGCATACTTAGTAGAGCATAACAAAAGAATTTATTTGAAGTAGATCATACTATCAACCTTTTGCCTTAGAGCAGTTACAATTTGTTTCCAGGAAGGAATATCCAATCTGAATCGATTTTCACTAAACTTGAGGGAGACATTTTAATGTCAAATTTTTATATAATTTATTATACCAAATAACATGGCTATAGAGTGCATGATATCACTTTGAGAAGGATTATATTACACCAGTAAAGAAAGACTTAAAGTCGGGCGAGGCCGACTTTATGATACCCTACACCACTTTGCTAATTTAGTAGAGCTCCACATAACAATTAAAAGTTCTTATGGGAGAATTCAATCATACACGCTATGATTATAATTATAATTTAAAGTTCAAAAGACTAAATATGCCGAAGCATTTGTATCTTTCAAATTCGGACTTGTATTGCCCATTTGATATATATGGGAGCTATATCCAAATGTGAACCGATCTTGATAAAATTTGGCAAAGATATTTCTGAGCTGTATTTCATATATTTCCCTGAATATCGTTGTTACGGAGTGCATATTACGGCTATGGGTAACAAATATAACAAATCGGTTGAACAATATATATGGGAGCTATAGGTATATCTCAACCGATCTTCACCAAATTTGAGAAAATATTAGACGTTTGGTGCACAATAAAAGGTAAATCGGACGAAGTTATATATGGGAGATATATCCAAATCCGAACCGATCTCGATAAAAGTTGGCAAATATATTTCTGATATATTTCCCCAAATATTGATGTTACGGAGCGCATATTACGGCTGTGGATAACAAATATAACAAATCGGATGAACAACATATATTGGAGCTATAGCTATATCTGAACCGATTTCGATCAAATTTGGCATACTTATTTTCAGGCTTAATTTGGTTGTATGTGCAAAATTCCGTAATATTCGAGCTGATATTACACATTTGGTGCACAATAAAAGGCAAATCGGACGAAGATATATATGGGAGCTGTATCTAAACTTTTACCGATTATCTCCAATTTCAATAGGGTTTGTCCTTGGACCAAACAAATGATTTGTGCAAAATTTCATCTGGATCATGTAATAAATGCGAACTGTACTTTGTTCACAAAAATACATGGACAGACGGGCGGACTTGCATAAATCGACTCAGAATGTGATTCTATGCAGATCATCAAAAAAACTATGGGTCTATCTCATTTCCTTTTGCCTGTTACAAACAAATGCACAAAGACATAATACCCTGCCCACCTTGTGGTGTAGGGTATAAATATATGTATCGGAGCCGAATTCCACAAAATGGAAACATCCGTCCCGAAATTCACTCCTTTTGATATTAGCAAAATAATGACACAATAAACCTGAAATCGGATTAAGAATATATATGACAGCTATATCCAAATCTAAACCGATCTCGATAAAAATTGGCAAAATTTTTCGCGAGCTCCATAATATATATGGTACCAAATATCATTGTTGTCGAATGCATATTACGAATGTGAGGGACTTAAACACCAAATCGGATGAAACATATATATGGGAGCTATAGATATATCTGAACTGATTTTCACCAAATTCGATGTAC